CCAAAAACCGTGTCATTTGGAACCACAAATCAACGCAAGTGTGGCGCAAACGGAAGGAACAGCGTGCGCTTTTTCTCGAGCAATTACCGGCTTGGAAATGTAGGCGACCCATCAAAATGGCAATAAGCTTGGTGAGAAACTGCTCGTACTTAACTGCTCGTAGTCTCCTATCGTAATGTGAAGGATAGACGGCAGTTCACATGAATAATCTGGAGAACATACATTCCATTTCACTTATGGTTAGATGGGGAGAGCATGGCTACGTACTTTTCAAGAATGTGGCAGCTGTTGCGCTTCTGGGATGTCCGCATTGGGACAAATGTGCTCACGTTTTTTTCACAGAGCACAATACATATACAGAATGATAGTCATCTCAAATGGAAACATCCTCCAAGAAAACCCTCCTACGCCACGTCCGAAGAAAGTACACAGCCACGCCCTCCTTGTCTCCGGGTTAAGGTGTGCGTTCAGTCGAGCGCATCTACCAACCTACTCTCTTCTTTGCTCTCTCTCTCTCTCTCTCTCTCGAGCTCGCTGGAAAGTAGATTACTGAGAGCAGGTAAAAGATAGCAGAATGTTACCCAGTAGGTAACAGGGACGTGGTTTCTACAAAATCGTGTCCAAATGATATCAAGAGCTTTTTCAAGTACGAACCATGGGCTATGGTGCAACCAGGGCACGCCATCGTTGTGATGATCACAACGGGGGGGGGGGGGTCGTATTGAGACCGGGTGGGAGGGGAGAGGTCGTATTTAGTCTGAGAAAATTTTTTTATAGTTGATTTCTCTTGTTTCACGGACGCTATAAAGGGGGAGGGGTCGTATTTGGTCGTTGTTGGGAGGGAGATTGCCAAAGAAGCATACAACTACTATTTCCGATAAATGAAAATGATGGTTAAATCCTGACGACCTCCCGCCCCCTAGACAGAAAATTCTTGGCTGAAAAACTGGAAGGTTTTGGGGAAATTTCGGAGAACCTGGTAGGAGGTTGGGAAAATCTAGGAAAGTGGTAGGTAGCATGGGGAGGGGGGTCGTATTTGAGGATGGAATTAGGGGGGTCGTATTTTTCAGGAAATGATCACAACGCGATGGCGTGCCCTGGGTGCAACCTCCAGGGCACGTCCTGTCATTTGAAAAAAAAATGTAAAAGACGACCCTCTCCCCAAAACTTCCCTCTCTGGGTTCCCCTCTCCCCCATCCTCATCCTGCTTACCATCTGCCCAAAGTCTCCCAACTTTCCACCACTTTTCTGTGGTTTCTTTTCGAACCCTCCAGTTCCTACCCCTGAAACCTGACCTTGGGCGAGGAGGGGAGGGGGGGCTGTATAACACGCGTGAAACGAAAAACTGACAAAGCCAACGACCGAAAACGCTCTTTCCAAAAGCGATATGACCCCATCTCTCTAGCGACCAAATATGACCCTCCTCGCTAACGAACCCAACCTACGACGTGCCCTGATAACCACAAGATGGTGTAGCTCCACTGTCTTCGATCGCACAACAGGTTAGACGCTGTGTGATAGTGTTGTGTTCAGGTGTCGGTTATTGGACAATTTATTGTGGTCGAAGGAAGACATGGTGAGAAGCAGGACGAATTCGGAACAATCGAAAGACACTTCATCAGGTAAGAGTCATAGTTTGTTTGTGCTCGTCTTCCAGAGTCTGTTCACTCTGTATGATTTCGTTGTTAGCTGCTGCCCAGTTAACTTTGTTTCCGCCTACCATACTTTACCAGTTAATTACTTTTTATTGAAATTTCCTGAACGATACACACCCATTGCTGACCTGGACTTTGACTTGCCAGTCATTTGGTTTCTTAGTACTGACTGATCCTTCCATACTTTGTTACAGAAAAATAGTGTAGTCCTCACAGCTTGCGGGAAGTAACAACATCATGGGTTCCTTCGAAAATGTAGACACAGCGAAGCGATGGCATATTTAGCAGACGTGGGATAGTTCAATGGCCGAGTTTTCCACTTCCCCCCCCCCAGCTGAGTTGTGGGTCCCGGCCGAAAACGAATGCTGTGAAAATGAGCCGTGGGTGGAATCACTGAACATTTCCTAATCCTAATACGTACGCACGCGCGCTCCGCTATTTCTTTACTCCCCTAGCGCTCCATAGATGAGTCTCATTTCATTTGGCGCTCCTTTTCCATGTTTTTCATAGAAGAGGAAAGAAATTTTCATAGAGAATTTTCATAGAATTTTTTTCATTTTCATAGAAGACCAATCAAACAAGGGTAAAGGCGCGATTTGCGATTATTAGGCGCAAGTAGCGGAGTCGAAGAATTCTTAGGCTCTAGTTGAAGTCCCCGTGATGGAAAAGAGAATCTTTCAGAAATGTCCTTGATAACTCCATCCTTCTTGCATTTGATTGCAAACTCGAGGAATATTATTAAGGATTCCGGGTGCGGGAGAGATCAGACAAGATCAAGAGGCGGGAAGACAGCCAACACCGACGAACAGGGTCAGACACCAGCTGGAAAGCAGTTACTTAACCTCAGTAGGATTAGTCCACTTAAGCAACCTACGCCTGCGTAGCTGAGCCTTACGGCTTACGGGTTACGGCGCAATTGTCGAGCGAGGGCGGCGATATCTTTGCACTTTTGCTACCTCCCAACGACGTGTCGGCCTGTCTAGACAGCCTCTTCTCGAGTTGACAGGTTTTAACAAGATGACTTGACTACCTTGTTCCAGCTGCACAAGTGTTCACAGGTTTCGCAGTGTAAGACATGTAAACTGGAAACTGAGAGCAAGCAGTGATAGTACAAATGCCCCCCCCCTCGTCGACAAAACAGCGCCGGGGTACTGTTGTTGCTGCGCCACAATCTTGCTCCCTGATTTTCTAGGGAAAACAGTCGAAATGAAAATGTGGTCCTCAGTTGTCTTTGTGAAGTGGAACTATTCTGTTAATGTCCTCCGTAATACCTATACATTGTGCCTTCCCTTGCTGCCGCTTCTTCTGAACTTCCGTCTTTCGTTCTTGCATGAGTCAGTCAACTCTTAATTTTCATGAACACTTCCACTAAAATTTGCTTTATCGGCAAGAACTTGCTTCTAGAATGACCACTGTTTTCAACTGAGTGACTACGTCTGCAAGATTGGCGGCCCTTTTTACAGTACTTTATGGTATTTGCAATACGCGCATTACGAGTGTACACTCGTACCTACCGTCCATAAATCAGCCTCGTAGTTGACTGTAGACGGACTTGGTTGCGTACACTCCACATCCGCGATAGCGGGAAATTACGGAATTCTCCATTTTGAGGCAAATGCCATCATTCCTCATGTTGGACAACGATCATAATTGCCCCAAATATCTTACCAAAAGCGCAGCTGCGGCCATGTCCAAATTAAGTTCGAAGCCACGCCTAACGCATTTCGGGGTATTGGAAGTATCTTTGTGAACGATGAGGGTTCGAGAGGGTTTAGGGACACATCAACTTTCTCTCGTGCACTCTACGGTCTTCTATGTACACATTACCAACGTCTCCGCCTAAACCTGAATGCCCCACCGCGTTCACAACCAAAGGGAAATGTGCAAGCATAAGTTCATGTTTGATATGAGAACCGACTTTTTTTCGGAGTTGTTTTAGTTTTCTGGAAAGTTTATGTGTAGTCGTTTTTGCTGCAAACGCTGCAACCTTTCCGGGATGGGGGGGCTGGGTTCGGCTCGGTGTCAGTTGGTTTTCTGCCGCGCTTGCCCTCTTCACCAACTGGTTAAGAACGGGCTAGCGCCGCGCCAAACATAGCCATTCTGACACGCTCCAGCGCCTGCAGCGAAAACGAGTGTACTTCTGCGGCACAATATAGGCATGGGCGCAAAGCGTCGGACGGAGAGAGGATTAAACCTCTACCAGGATTTCACACACTTTACGAAGCTTTTTCAAGACTAACGAAAGCAATGTGATGAGTTTTCCATCGTGTAGTAGTGGTGAACGTAAGAACTACAAAGCGCAGATGCGTATGGAGTAGAGAAAAATATTCGCCACATGTGTGCCTACGACAATCTTAGGATTCATCGTTCA